TTTTTTCGGTACTGGGGATCGAACTCGGGTCCTTGCACTTGCGAGGTAGGCGGCAGAACCACTGAGCTAAATCCCCGGCCTGACACCCCGGTTTTTGATTGTTATTGAGACAAAAATCTTATTATCTTACCCAGGCCAGCCTCAAACTCATGGACTCAAGCCATCCTCCTGCTTCAGCCTCCTGAGTAGTTGGGGCTGTAGGTGTACACCATCATATCTGTTGGAGATTCTGTTGTGATGCTCACTTTTACTTTAGTTATCAGAGGATCTGAGCATATTTTTGTCTGTTGGTCACTTGTATATTTTTTTCTGTGAATTGTCTTTCCATTTGGCCCATTTTCCTTTTTGTATTATTTACCTTTTTTCTTCACAGCCATATTTTATCAGTGCTGCCTTGTGTTTTTAAACATTTTTGAAAATGAATTGCCAGGGTTGGGAATTTAGCTCAGTGGCGCCGCACCTGCTTCACAAGTGCGAGGTCCTGAGTTCGATCCCCAGAATCACAAAACAAAACAAAACAAAAACAAGAAAATGGGTTGCCAACACTTAGGTCAAGAGATGTTATGAAAGTCTGGGCTCTTGCTCATATGATCTGTGAGCTTTGGTGCCAGGTGCCCACATAGCAGCATATCCAGGAACATGCTCCCCTTTCTGGGGATTACACCTTCTGAAGGATGACAGGCACCACACAGTTGGCTTCTGCTGCCACCTGGCCCTGAGCTCTGTCTGTGCAACTGGTCGTTAATCTTCAGTGTGAGTCACTTTAAGCCTAGCCCACTTTGCTGATTTGTGTCACTTGCCTGATAGCAATTGCCCCTATATTTGCCACTTTGATGGCTTAGCCATCTGCACACAGGCATTTGAAATGTACTGAGATCCCTCCAGAGGTGAAGTCTGTAGAGGAGAAACAACAGTGGCAGATTCCTAGTAAACTTGGTAACTGCTTGCATTTTAGTGATAATTTAAAACAGTGCCACTTATTTCCTCAGAACCCATGTCCAGGGAGGGTACCACATATGCACTTTGGTAACGTCTAGGCCATCTGCTGATGTTCACAATAAGTCCACAAATCCAGCCCTGGAAGAGTTGGCTTTCCACTTAAATGTCTGAGTACTGCCAGCTTGTTTGAGAACTCTTGATTTTACAAAACCTTTTAACGTGATTCATCACTGCAGGAAGTGAAAGATAATTTGCAGCTGCAATTCCATTGTGATCACTGTTCAGTCCTTTTATTACCCAGAATAAAATGGTCTGGTCTAAATATTTTCTCGCAAGTGCCTTTTCTTTTTCTGCTTCTGAGGCTGCCCCTGCCCTTTCTTCTTTCTTCTCCTTCCTTCTTTCCTTCTCCTCACCCTCCCCCCGCCCCCCGTTGTTGCTTCTGCTGCTGCTGCTGCTTCTTTTTCTTCCTCTCCTTCTTCTTTGGTGCTAGAGGTCAGACCCAGGGCATTACACATGGGTAGACAAGCATTCTGCCACTGAGCTGCATGCCCAGCCCAATGGTTTTAAATATTTAAAATTCTGTCTTTAGCTAAAATGTTGTTTTTCCACTACCCTATCCTTGAGCAGGAGCTCTGGATTGGAATCTCACCTGTGAGAAAGGTGATATCATCGCCAGCCCCATCCCTCATAGACAGATGCCTGCTGAGTCTCTTCTCTGAAGTGTGTCTTGAACACATACCAGTGTTTTCATTCCTTACATAGATAATGTCTGAGTACTGCTACCTTGTTTGAGAACTCTTGATTTTATAAAACCTTATATATAATATGACTCGTGATTGCAAGAAGTGAAAGAGAAGCTGTGGATCAGATTGTATTTCTAAGCTGGGCACAGTGGTACACACTTGTAATCCCAGCACTTGGGAGCTGAGGCAGGAGGATCACTGAGAGTTTGCAGCTTACCTGGGCTACATAATGAGTTCAGGGCCAACATGAACTACAAAGGGAGACCCTGCCTCAAGAAACAAACAAACAAATATTTTATCTCCACATGTACCTGCATAAGACAACAGCCACATTGTCGCCACTGATCATGAGGTGATCATTGATGTCCACAGGCATTACTGAGTGCAGTCAGCCTAACCATGTTTATCCTGGGCTCCACTCATCGAGTGACTGTGTGGCAGAGCAGAGTCATTTCCATGAGAGCTGGAGGGGGCTGGCCTTCCAGGTTTGCGCTGTAAGACCTGTGATCACTGAGCACATAGTCCCAGCAGCAACTTGAAATTCAGTTCTTTTTGTCACTAAAAGGTACTTGCCACGTGCCTCCCATTTCACCAGCTAAAATACTGTCACGCATAGTGTATTTGTGAGATGAACAGAGACCCAGCACTTAGAGGTGTGTCTCCTCCAAGGTAGATCCTTTTCTAGTTTGTGGCCCAGGCTCAGTTTTCTCCCAGTCTGGAAATCACCCAGACACTAGATGGTTGTGCATTGCTTAGTAGTAAATGCATACTGGTAATTAAATAAAAAGTACCAATCAGTAGGTGCAATACTAGTTTGTTCTCTGTACCCTGGTCGTTTATGAGCCTCTTAATGCCGTTTCTCCCTTCAGGCTCCACAGCATCTTCGCTGCCCCTGGAGAAGGAGGAACAGGTCCGACTCCAGGCCCGGAAGCGCCTAGAGGAGCAACTCCGGCAATACCGTGTGAAGCGCCAGCAGGAACGGGTGAGTCTGCCGCCTGGGCCAGGGCATGCCTGAAGTAGAAGAGTGGTCAGGCAGGGCCACTTCTGGGCTGCAGGGCAGGCTGTGAGCATGTGGTCTGCCTGCACTTGCCACCTGAAGCTGAGGCCTTCCTGTTCTGTACAGAGCCCCACCTCAGGTTTCTGTTTATTTCATGAGTAAGTTTCCAGGGAGCTTTGCGTCTGTCCCATATTATTGGAACAGTGTGACCACTTACTGTGCTAGCATCAGTGTTACTCAAGTGTAAACTCATAGAGATCATATTTAAAGTGATTTTTTAATTAAGTGACCAGGCAAGAGGTATATGAATGTTTCTTTTGGGGTGGGGGGGTTGGTTTTTTTTTTTTTGGTTTTTTGAGACAGGGGGTCACTATGTAGTTGAGACTGACTTGGAACTCACTATGTAGCCCAGGCTAGTCTCGAACTCACAGCAGTCCTCCTGCCTCAGCCTCCCGAGTGCTGGGATTACATGAATGTTTCTTTCATAGTTCTAATTTTTCTATGCTTTTGAACATTTTCAAATGAAATTATTTAAAATTAAACTGACACAAGAGTCTTCTGGTGGGTGAATTTAATGCAGATGGTTTCCATCAGAGATAGCTGTTATTCTCCCAGGAGGAAGTGATATTGGAATAGCATTGCTGGTCAGAAGAGAAGCAGTCCCCAGACCAAATAGACGGAGCCTCACACCTGTTCAGGGGTGAGCTTGGCAACCTCTCTCGGTGGCCTGCTGGAAAGTCATAGTGAGGGCAAAGAACCAATGAGTACTAAGCATTAGGTATTGTGTTAAATTCCCTACAAACTTTATGCATTATCAGGTGAAAGAATTGATGTTTGGGAAGAGAAAACTGAAACTCATGTTAGGAGTTGTCATCTGGCAATGATGAGGCAGAGGCAACGCAGCAGTTCCTGGGTCTACTTGGAGGTGCCTACTTTCATTGAGGAATGTGTCGGTAGTTCGGTGTAAAATTCCAAATTTTGAAGAGCCATATATCTAATAATAAAAGCTAAAAAATGATACCTAATAGTTTAAACAGGAGGGCACTTCCTTAGTTCCTGACAGGTCAGTTCTGTATGACCAGCTCATTACTCACTCCACATCTAAGGACTAGGGCAGAAAGATTGGAAGGGGCCAGACAGTTCACTACCAGTTGTCCCTGCCCAAGAGGCCCTTTGCGAAGGCCAGAAGCAGCGTTGAGCAGACTAGAAGGTGGCATCTGTCTCAAAGGTCATCCTCTCAGGAAGTCCTCTGTCCTCCTCTCTGCATTCACCATGCTGAAGCTCAGGGTGAAGTGGCTTCAGTCAGCCCCGTGGCCCATGTGTGGGGTGCAGAGTCTTTGTCCTGTGTGCATGGGTTCCTTGGCTGTGTAGTTGCATGTATGCCAGGAAAAAAATTCCTTCTTAGTATATATAAAAATATTTTTCCTTGGCACAATAGATTTTGCCCATAATAGACTCTGTTCACGTCCGGATGGCTCTGTCTCCCCTTCACCTGCTCCCACCCTTCCTGTTGTTTTCCAGCTATGTCCCATGTCATTTATGAGGTTTCTTAACCTTCCCTGTGTGCCCCAGCCCAGGGATTACATTGATTTTTGTAGAGTAACAGGCTTGAGTATTTCTCCACAAGGGAAAATTGTGCTGACATAACAAAAGGAAAGGAATCTTTCCCATACTCCTAATCTCTAGCAAGGCCACTTTTCAAGTTGTAACTGACACAGTAATGCAAGAGTAAAAAGTAAGAGAGAAATATTGACGGAGAGAAGAGATGTTATAGTTATTCCTAGGTGCTGATAATACAATGAAAAACTCCAAGAGTCAATTGAAAACAATTATTAGGGTTTAAGAAGTTGTCAGTTTATTAGATCAAATATGAAAGGTAAGTGGTTACATTGCCATGATCAAACATAAAATGAGTGGGGAAAGATAACATTTATAATAACAACAAAAATGATAAAAATATCTGAAAATTAAATTAAAATGGCAATTTAAAGGGGCTTAGACTCTAGGTAAAGAAACAATCCTTAACACCTGAGTACTTTTTAGGTTTAAAGTAGTTATAGGTAAAGGTTTTTTGTTTTGTTTTGTTTTTAATTGAAAAAGTACCTGAATAAGGAAGCATAGGTGAAGAGCCAGGAAAGTCCATTGAAGGAAGTGTGGTAGGGAGGGACTTTTCTGGGCCTGATGTTACAGTGTATTAAATAAAGCCACTACTTAGAGCTGTGCTTCAGGCCAGGGTGGCTGCAAGGCCCAGCTAGAGTGCAAGAGTCTGAGGATTAATGGGCCTGGGTGCCTGCCAGGCAACTGGAAGGCTGTTCATCATGCCAAGGGATGTCAGTTGTGCAGGCTCTGTGGTTGACAATTCTAGAATGCTGCTTGCAGATTTTAACATATTTTTTTTTTCTTCTCAGTCCAGCCAACCTTCAACAAAAATGAGACTCTTTAGCACTCTTGATCCTGAGCTCATGTTGCACCCAGAAAACTTGCCAAGGGCCAGTACTGTAGCTATGACAAAAGAGTACTCCTTTTTGCGCACTAGTGTCCCTCGCGGGCCCAAGGTGGGCAGCCTAGGGCTGCTGACACATGCCAAGGATAAAAGGAGTTCCAGATCAAGCAAAATCCGGTCTCTGGCTGATTATAGAACTGAAGATGGAAGTGGTTCCAGTGGCGTTGCTTCTGCTGCTGACTCTATTGGAAGCTCCCTGAGGCAAAGCAGGGGCAGCACCTCAGTAGTGTCTGAGGTTAGCCTGTCCCCTGAGACTGATGGCCATCTTGAGAACACCTTGCTGACTGGGGATGGTGTGTCAGAGGCCGATGGAAACGAAAGTGACAGCTCCTCACACAGCAGCCTCTCCACCCGAGGGACCTGCAGTGTCCTGGGGAACATGGTGGTCACACAGGGAGCTGCCTACATGGTTAATGGCCAAGAGATTGCCACGGAGGCCCTGGGCCAGTTTCCTTCAATTAAGGATATCCTCCAGGCCTCAGCAGCTGAGCACCAAGACCAGGGGCAGGAAGTCAACGGGGAGGTGCGGAGCCGCAGAGACAGTATCTGCAGCAGGTGGGCAGTGGCTCAGCCTCCTGCTCTGCTCTCAGACCACTGCCAGGCACAGCGCTCCTTTTTTAACACCTCCTGTAGTGTTCACGCAAGCATTTCACTTACAGCTCTGTGCTTTGAAAGTAGAATCAGATCTAATCAGCAACTGCTTGAGATATTGGCTGTCTTCCAGTGTTTATAGCCCTGTCTCTGTGTCTACCATATGTTCACGAGGTTCATACTTCCAGAGCCTGCTCCATTGGCAGTTGCTGGAAAGGCCTGCTATGGGAGGCTGCCCCATCTAAGCTCCTCTCACTACTGAAGTCTGCTTATTTTATTTAATTATTTTTTATTTATTTATTTTTTGGTACCAGGGATCAAACTTGGGTCCTTGCGCTTGTGAGGCAGGTGGCAGAACCACTGAGCTAAATCCCTGGCTACTTACTTATTTTTAAAAATTTGGGGGAGAGCAACAGTGATTGTGGGATTGGGAAACAGTGAAGTGTAAAAAGAAGGATCATTGGCATGATCCCATCACTTCACCTTGTGCCTCTGTCCTCAGTGTGTCCATGGAGAGCTCCCTTGCTGAAGGACAGGATGAAATGTTGCAGGTTCTTAAAGAAAAAATGAGACTAGAAGGACAGCTGGAGGCTTTATCAGCAGAGGCCAGTCAGGTAAGGGATGTCTGAGTGTTTGATATGTCCAGTCTTTGAAAAGAATATGTGGTTCCTCACTGGATACAGTTTTGCAAGTGTGAGCTGCATCTTCACTGGCCCCACCTCCTGTGACTCACATTTGTCTCCCTGTGTTGGCAGTCTTGTTAACACTGGACAGAAGTGACTCATTTTTCTGGAAGTGTGTGTTTGCTTGACATTTCCAGGCACTTCAGGAAAAGGCAGAGTTGCAGGCCCAGCTGGCTGCCTTACGCACCAGGCTGCAGGCCCAGATGGAGCGAAGCCACAGCAGCCAGCAGAAGCAGGACTCCCTCAGCTCTGAGGTGGACACTCTGAAGCAGTCCTGCTGGGACCTAGAGCAGGCCATGACTGACCTGCAGAGCATGCTGGAAGCCAAGAATGCCAGCCTGGCATCCTCGAATAATGACCTACAGATGGCAGAGGAACAGTACCAGCGACTTATGGCCAAAGTTGAGGACATGCAGAAAAGCATCCTCAGCAAGGACAACACAGGTGAGGCTGGGCTCAAGCTGCTGCTGCTAACCCTGGCACCCAGCCCCCCAGTGTACTCAGCTGCAGGTGGCATTAGCTCATCATTGACACTAAATGTCTACTTGCTAAAATGACTACAGCTTTGGTTGAACTCACGTGATTCTGTACATTTTTGCATGAACATCCAGGGGAATAGGTTTCAGAAATTGACTTTGCCTGTAATCTGAGCACTCAGGAGGCTGAGGCAGGAAGATCTCTCTGATTTCGAGGCCAGCCTGGGCTACATAGTGAGTTCAGGGCCAGCCTGAAACAAAAAAGAAAAGAAGGAAGGAATTGGCTTTGGACCCTTGACCATCAGGAATAATCATTTCCACTCACGCTGTCTCAAAAATCCAGTGTTTTGAGAGGAGTAGAGGGTTAGAGGAGTGTTTTGAGAGGAGGAGAGTGGTGGCTGCCACGTCTACATTTATTCCTGCTTATTTCACATTCAGTTTATAAATATTCAAAAATAACACCTAGAGCCAGGCATGATGGGACATAAGAAACACCTCAAGTTTGAGACCATCCTGGTCTACATTGTTCATGGCCAATCTGAACTACATAGGAAGACCCTGTCTCAAAAACACCCTCTCCCAATACAAAAAAAAAAAAGACACCTAGGTTGTGGATTAGTGACCTCCTCCCAGTGTTAAGCTCTGATTTTGGCCAGGCTGGCTCCTGTAGAATAACCCAGAGAAAACAGAATCACATCAACTCTTGCTCTCATCCCCACCTGAGCTAATCCCAAAACCGCAGGCATTCCTAAGACCAAGAAGACTCTGGTCTATGCCCAGAGCACATTTGAGCAGAGGGGGAAAGAGCAAAGTGGGAAGGAAGACTGAAGACCAGAGCCTGAGGGAATGGATAGTAGTGTCTAGAGATATATGAACACCTGTGAGGCTGTGGACAAGGCTGCAGGGCTGATCACCCCAAGGAGAAAGGTGAGCGGCTGTCTCAGAGGCTGAGTTCTAACACTCAGAAGAGACAAAGAATCCACTGTGCAGCAAAGTACTGTCTTGATTGCTGTTAACTTTTCAGTCTTTAGGGCTGGGAATTTAGCTCAGTGGTGCCTCTTGCTTGCCTTGCAAGAGCAAGGTCCTGAGTTCAATCCCTGGTACCAAAAAAAACCAAAAACTTTTCAGTCTTTGAGCATTGTATGATGCCCAATCCTATAAGAAAGATAGGATCCAAAAATTTCTGAACACCAAGATAGTTTTGTACTTGGGGATTACCTCACTACCCAGTGCTCTTTGGGCAGCAGAACTGTCAAAAGCTTGGGTGTGTTGGACAGGCATAGCCCATGGCTCAGTGCCAGGAACCTATGCTGAGCTGCAGGGCTCAGGGCAGAGCCACATGGGATACTTTTGTTGCCATTCTAAGATCTGGCTACCCTGCTCTCAAGCTCTTCAGATAATGGGTCCCAGGCCCTATCAAACTGTCTTATTTGGCTTTTATGTAAAAGTTTTGGCAGGCATGGTAGTGCATACCTGTAGTCCTAGCACTTGGGAGGCTGAGGCAGGAGGGTTACCACAAGTTCAAGGTCATCCTGGGCTACATAGTGAGTTGGAGGCCAGCATGAACTACAGAGTAAAATCTTGTCTCAAAAATAACTACATAGGACTAAGGATTTAGCTCAGTTGTGCCACTGCCCTCCTTGCAAGCTCCAGGTGTTGAGTTCAATCCCCAGTACAAAAAAAAAGAGTTTCAGAGCCAAGGATGGTGTCTTACACCTGTAATCCCATCATTCAGAAGGCTGAGGCAAGAGGATCTCTCTGAGTTCAAAGCCAACCTGAACCACATAATGAGACTGTCTCAAAAAAACCAATAAAATGGTCTGGGATGTAGCTCAGTGGCTCCATGCCTGCCTTGCAAGTGCAAGGTCCTGAGTTTGATCCCTGGTTGGGGCAGGTGTGTGTGGGGGTGGGACACAATAAAATAAACAAAACAAGGCCAGTGATTTAGCTCAGTGGTGCCGCTGCCTGCCTTGTAAGTGCAAGGTCCTCAGTTTGATCCCCAGTACCAAAATAATTTTTAAAAAATAAATACAAGTTTTGAAAAATATCTTCAGAACCATAAATGTTTAGTTTGGGATATAATTTAAGTATAAAAATTGCTGGCTATTTTGTTCTGTGATTTGGGCTATCAGTACCTTCCTGGCTCCTTGTGCTCCTCCTGCCCCACCCTTGCTGACGTTGAGAATTCACCACACATGCAGACCAACAAGAGTTTGTGGTCAGCCAGCCCAGGACTCTGTTGCTGCATTTGTTGGTGGCTGATAAACATGGCTAGGTGGTTCAAAGACCAGTGCCAAGGTGTCCGTGGCAATTTTGTGGACAGTTGATTCTCGGTACTTGAAATTTCATAAATGAATTTGCCTACTTGCTTAAATTTATTTGTAACTCATAGCACTTCATGGCCTTTAATGGAGATGTGCAGAGTGACAAAAGCTTGAGTTGCCAATGCATCTGCACCTGGCTGCAGTAGTGTGCTGCCCTCTTGTTTGCCTCAGGTCTTCTCTGACCCAAGAATCTCCCTCCACTCAGGATATGAACTTGGTCCTTGCTGTAGTCTTTTCAGGGCCACACTATTCCTTTTCAGTGTGGTTTTTCTGCTTAAAATGCCCCAAAACACTGGTATGCTCAGTGTGAGGGGCTGTGAGCTGTTTGTGGAGATGTGTTGGTTAGGGGAACTTTGCTCAGCAGCCATGGCTGACTCATAACTACTGGCAATGAACTCAGTATTGAGGGAAAAAAACAGGTATTAAGGTGTCTTTAAACATGTGGCTTGATGAATATGTGACTGAAAGCTCGCTGAGCCCAGTCCTCTGTCTCCCCAGGAGCAGTGGTCTATGTCCACAATGCAGTGGCAACTTTGTAGAGCACAGCTACTGAGGTGGCCAGGTTGACTGTCCCTACTCTCTGTAGGGCCAACTTTTTGTCAGATATCCAAAGAGCTTCGTGCTCTCCTATGCTGCTGGTAGGCCTAAGTGGGCCGTGCTTGTTCCCTTTCAGTGCATGACCTCCGACAGCAGATGGCAGCCCTGCAGAACCAGCTCCAGCAAGTGCAACTGGAGCGCACAACACTGACCAGCAAGCTGCAGGCATCGCAGACTGAGATTGCATCTCTGCAGCATGCCCGGCAGTGGTACCAGGAACAGCTTGTCCTGGCCCAGGAGGCCCGGGTCAGGCTGCAGGGTGAGGTGGCCCACATCCAGGTATGGCCTATGGACTTCCTTCAGCATGATAGACTTGTACCCTATACCGTGGGGAACCATGCTTTTATCTAAACTAAAAGAATGATTCCAATGAAGTCTGCTATCCATGAGTGTGCTCTGTACCCCTCCTGTGAAGGGTTCTCCTCTGCATGACCTTCTGACCAGAGCCTTCTGGCTCCCACCTGAGTCTTTCATTCTGAAATGCCTGCTCTGGGATGCCCCAGGCTCTGCTACTCAGCTCCAGCCCTCTTTCAAAGGATAACTATTTCCTCAAATCTGTATCTGCTGGGTTTCAGGGGTCCCCCACCTGACCTCCTTGCTCTATGTCCCTCCCCGGTGACAGTCTCCATCAGGCACACAGGTGTTCCCTTTCTGGCTGTGGCTGCTTGAACTGAAGAATATACAATCACCAAGTTATTCCTACATGAACTCTATATTTCTATGTCCCGTAGAGGACATTTTCTTTGTTTTGTTACTGGATACAGGCCACACCAGCCTTTGGTTTTGCTTATGTGGGAACATGTGTCATTCTGTGTGTCCCTTATGTGTGTGCACATCAACATTCGACTGGCATTGTCAGGTAGCATGCTTTGGAGATGCAAGGGAGGAACAGGAAGCTGCTGGAATGCACTTTGCTGTGAAGCTCAGTGCCTAGACTGCTTGGAGTGAAGGAGCTGAAGAGTACTTTTGGTCAACCATCGAAAATTTAACTGGGCTTTTTTGACCCTAGATAAAAAATTTGGGGGTGGGTCCTGGGGATTGAACTCAGGACCTTGTGCTTGCAAGGCAAGCATGGTGCCACTGAGCTAAAGCCCTGGCCCTCCCCAGATAAAGTAGTATAGATTTATTGAAATTTTATTTTTCAAGTAGAGTATATAAAATACCATCTCTACCAATGTTCCTTTTTTTATCTAGAGTTTACAAATGCAAAACAGAAGTGTTCTTAAATTTATATTACATTTTTTTAAGACAAAGGGCCATACAGAAAAGTATTTCATATTCTTCAGTGTACTTGAACATCCATCATTATACAAATTATTATACCACAAGCTGCAGTGCATTTATATCAGGGTGAAGTATTTTAAAGAAGTAAGCAATAAGTCAGAAATGCAATTTGGAAGACTGAAATAAAGGGGGAACCAAAGGAAGCACTTTGAGAACCTTCTTGCTTGCTTTTGGTGTCTAGGTTCACTGCTGTGGAATTAGGGGTTTTTTGCTGCTTTGCCCTTAAACTTCTCCCTTGGTTTCCAGCTATTCACAGGGTGAAACATGTAGAGCAGACTATCATCCTTCTCTGTCTTAGCACTGCCCAGCCAGTTCCACCCTTCCTTCCCCCAGCAGCTTCTTTTCAGCTCAGAGCTGCTCCCACTATTATACCTTACACCCTCTCAGTCCAGATACCCACTAGGACTAGCGGCAAGGAGGGGACAGTCCAGCCACAGACCTGTCAATCCTTGCTTCTCTCTGTTACTCCTCACCCCTTGGGGAACTGGCCCTAGGCTCCTTTTCATGGGGAGGTAGTCAGCTGAGGTAGGCTGGGACTGCGGGCCCTCTGTGGCTTGGCTGCACTCTGTCTGTTCAGATAGCTCCTCACATGAGGCTCAGAGATGCATGCTTGATGGGACCTTGTGGGTAGGGCTGGCCCAGACTGCAAATTAGGGTGAGGACTGACATCTGAGTGGCTGTCTTGCCTCTTAGGCATGTAGGAACCACCTGCCTTAGACTGGAGAGAGCAGCCTATGTGGATGAGTCCTGGGGTGGGGCCAGGCTCTGCTGCACAGGCCATCGAGAGGGGAAGCTGGTACTGTTGGTGAACCCTTGGGACTTGATATCTGAAGTTGAGCGGCTTTCTACCCTCATATCTTTCTTTGAAGGTTGGACAGATGACACAGGCCGGCCTTCTGGAGCACCTGAAGCTTGAGAATGTGTCCCTGTCCCAGCAGCTGACAGAGACTCAGCACAGGTCCATCAAGGAGAAGGAGCGCATAGCTGTGCAACTCCAGAGCATTGAGGTGAGGACTGTGGCTATGGTAGGTGCCAGTTTCTGTTTGCCTTTGGTCTCACTAGCAAGTGTGAGAAAACATACTGTACTTGGTCATAAGCATAATATGTACACGTAAACATAAGCATTCATACATCTTATATATGCATATATGTAAACATGTATGTTTTAAAAAGCTGCTTAGGCTTAAGGGCCCCACCCTGCATTGGACCTACTGGTCAGTGTCACCTTGGGGCCCAGGCTGGGAAGAGTGGATGGTGGGGTGGTCTTGCTGTGTGTGTGTGTTGGATGATGTGTTTCTTAGTGTAGGCTTTTGTGTTCATTCCAAGCATATCACCTGCATTGCTGGTTAGTCCTCCCACACCATATGAGGTTTTTATTATTACTGCTGCTGTTTGCACAGTCATCTTCACATGATAGGAAATGCAGTAGCTTTGACCTGGACCAGAAACCTGCCCTTCCCTCTACCCCCAACCCCTTACTGGGGATTGAACTCAGGACCTTGTAGGCCATACCACGGAGCTAAATTACCAGCCCTCCTGCTTGCTTTTTGTACCTCTGAGAACCTGTGAGATTTCTTAATCACTCAGATCCTAGTTTCTTCTTTTGTAGAACAGATAATAAAACCTGTTTAATGTCCTTTTTAGAAAATGTAAAGAAGAAACAGTGTGTAACATATGTGTAGCACTCTCATGTTGTGCTGACAGTGCTGCTGGGCAAGTTTGTTCCTGATCTTTTGTAAAAAGTCACACAGAAAGTCCACTTTCCTCATACTTTTCTGGTTTCTCATCTTACTACTATGCACCTGCCTCTTTTTCTGTGTGGATCACTTGGCTGTTTGGCTTGGATGATGGAAGAAAATCATCATCATATAGTGGCAAAGGGTTCAGTTAAAAAGACCAAAAACATTTTGAGATTTTTTTTTTTTTTTTTTTTTTTTTTTTTTTTTTTTTTTTTTGTTGGGTTAAAAACTTGTGTCTTATTTTTTTTTTTTTTTTTTGGTACTGGGAATCAAACTCAGGATCTTGTGCTTGCTTTTGAGGTAGGCATGGTGCCACTGAGCTAAATCCCTGGCCCAATCTTTTTCCCTAGGAAATGTGCCAAGATGCCAGGTCTCATTCGCAGAGTCAGAATGTAATGAGTGCCATATCCTGTGGTCCCTGTCTCTTACTTTGCTTTACTAAGTGATACAGAGTGTCAATCTTGTCAAAGAGTAAATTTCATGTACTATATTCCAAAAGACAGAATATGCTGCCCACTGTTCTCCCACAAGAAATACCAAGAAAGTTCATCCATCCATTGATCCCAGTTCTTTTTTCCTGAGTCTGGGTCTAGCTGTTGCCCAAGCCGGTCTCAATCTTGGGGCCTTAGTGATTTTCCTGCCTCAGCCTTCCAAGTTGCCGGGACTGCAAGTCTGCATTACTGTGCCAGGCAGATCTCCTTTATTAACACTGGTGTTTGCCTGCCCCTCCCTTGGTTCATGCCCATGCTACTAGTCTCCCTGTGGCAAGTGAGCAGATGAGCCCCTCACTGAGCAGCTTGTACACAGGATAGAGACGTGAACGAGGCACCTTTCAGTGCAGCAGGTTTCTCTAACCCTAGGCTGCTGTTTGCCCTGATTTTTAAAAAAATACTGTTTCCTGGGCCCAGGCTGACATGTTGGATCAGGAAGCAGCCTTTGTGCAGATTCGGGAGGCAAAGACAATGGTGGAGGAGGATCTTCAGAGGAGGCTGGAAGAGTTTGAGAGCGAACGGGAGCAGCTACAGAAGGTGGCAGACTCAGCAGTGGCCCTGGAGCAGCAGTTAGAACAGGCAAGTACCTGCCGCAGCCCTGGATTCAGGCACACACAGGCCCTGTGGCCATGGGCTCAGACCAGAGTGCACACAGCCAGGACTGACTACAGCCAGCCTGTGTAGTGACCTCTCCTGTGAAGCCGCATAGGCAGTGTGGGTTGTGTTGGGTTGTCTGTTGAATATGTGTGAAGGGTTACCACCAGACTGTGAATGCCAGGTTACCTCTGTTCATGCTCTGCCTCAGAAGTTTGCTTTTTTTTTTTTTTTTTTTTTTTTTTTTTGTAGTATGGGGGATTGAACTCAGGACCTTGGGCTCACGGCACCACCTCCCCAGCCCTTGCTTTTGTTTTGAGACAGTTTCACTATGTAGTTCAGGCTGAACCTTGAATACACTATGTATCCCAGGCTGGCCTCGAACTTGTGGCAGTCCACTTGCCTCAGCTTCCCAAGTGCTGGGATTATAGGCATGCAGCACCATTCCTGGCTTAGAATTTGGCTTTAAAAAGACCCTCCAGAGAGTCCATCAAAGTTACTTAGATCCTGAATGGGGGAAAATGTGTTGTCAGTGCAGGGGCGAGGACATCAGGGTGAACTCACTCCTGTTTGCAGGTGAAGCTGACTCTGCAGCAGCGAGACCAGCAGCTCGTGGCACTGCAGCAGGAGCACCTGGGCCTGGCAAAACAGCTCACCTTGGCGCAGGAGGTCCTGCAGGCTCGGGAACAGTCCCTAGACAACCTGCACACCCGCTACGATGAGCTGCAGGCACGGCTGGATGAGCTGCAGGGAGAGGCTGCTGCCAGGGAGGACGTGGTCCACTTCCTGCAGAATGAGAAGATTGTCTTGGAGGTGGCTCTGCAGGCAGCCAGAAGTGGCAAGGAAGAGCTTGATAGGGGAGCAAGGCGCTTGGAAGAAGGTACTGAGGAGACATCAGGACTTTTAGAGCAGCTGAGACAAGAGTTGGCTGTCAAGTCCAGCCAGGTAACCAGCCCACCACCATGTTGTGATCATCCTCCCATGGATGCATTCTTTTTTGAACATGGGTAACAAGGGAGAATTTTGTAGGGCAGGGGTCCCAGGGGCTCATGCTCTGCCCCAGCTCCATCTAGGCTTCTGGATGAGTCAAAAACAGAAGTGGGAACCTGAGTTTGGTTTGGGGCTTTGAAAAGTCATCTGCCAAGAAATACCAGCCTCTCTTTGCTGAGGATATGGACCTGAGCCTAGGAAGGAGCTATAAGAAACTTATTTTCCTGATGTGAGATAGGATACATGGAGGGGCAGGCAGGACCTGTTAGCCACCCTGGGATCCCAGTACTGAGACCACAGCCTGGCAGCAAGTCATACCTGGCACGAACCAGTCAGCTACTACAAGTGTATTTTTAAAATCTGGACAGAGTGAAGATGGATGTGCAGGAGGTAAAATTAACATTACGGAATGGCTCAGTCCTTATATCCCCCTCCACAGGGTTATCCCCCTCCACAACACTGTTGCAGTGTTCATTTAGAAAGGTCATCAGGGTTCTCTATTGATTGGTAGCTTGGTCAGCTAGCATTAGACAGTATTGATCATATCAGGATTTTACCTGCATTGTTACTTAAGTTGCTTGTAGGTGCCCTTGAGTTATGATGCTTTTCCTAAAAAGATGGAAGGTAGCAGGGTGGTGTTGCTGTCACCCTGAGCTACTGTCTTCCCAATTCTGAAGTCTTCTGACCTGAGAACCAGAGAGCCTAATGAAATAGAGCTGTGCCCCAGCCACCAGCCTACCCAGGCATCAGGCCCCATGGCTCTCACTGGCATGCGTGCTTGTCTTTGGGCATCACTGAGACCTCCTGTCTATAGGGCTGCCTTTGGTCTGGGTCTGTTTCTTTTGCCCTTTTTGTGGAACTGCACTGGGTCAGGGGCAAGTGACAAGGATGCTTACAGGGGATAAATGATGTGACTGGAATAACTGGTACCTTGGTCCTCCATGAACAGTTCCTGATGGAGAAGCTTAGAGCCACCTTCATGTTGCAGGGAAAAATGGTTCATTCCTCAAGTGATTACATGCTTGTGTGAAACATATTGTAGTCTTAAAGGAGGATTCAAACAGAAACAGGCTCTTCCCTAACTGAGATCGATGTGCCTATGCCAGATGGGCATGCTGACCGCATACTCCCAGGACAATGACCCAGATGCACGCATACTTACCCTATACCCCTTGGATGGTGATCCAGATGGGCGTGCTGACTCTGCACCCCCAGGATGGTGACCCAGGCATGTACACTGACCCTCAAACCTTCAATACAGTGACTCAGGTGGGCATCCTGACCCCTGTACCCCCAGGACAATGAACAAGATGAGCACAGTGACCTTTACACTCCTAGGACAGTGACCCAGATGGGCACAGTGACCTGCACCCCCAGGTCAGTGACCCATTCAGGTACGCTGACTGCATCTTCAGGACAGTGACCCAGGCAGGTGTGCTGACCCAGACCATCTGCTACATGGTGAACAAGGTTTCACTGTGATGGCTTCAGGAGGCTGTCACATCGTCATACAAATGTCATTTGATGTGGACCTGTGCCTTTGTTGCTCTGTGCCATGAGGGCCCTCATGGTGTCATTTGGCTTCTTCAAAAGCATCTCCATGTGTTTGGGTGCAGCTTGGTGAGCTCTCTGACCCTTTAGGTGGAAGGCTGCATGGCCTAGGGGCCCTGCATGTAGAGGTTCCCTGGAGCTCAGCCTTGCTGTACCTCTACATAATGTTTGTGGCTGCTTTTGTGCCACAGGACCTGACCAGAGAAGCTGCAGCAGATGGATGGCCCACTGGCCATTCCAGGGAGGGCTATGGACCTGGTCTAGAACACTCCCACCTCACCTCTCCTCACTCCCCCAGCTTGGTGCTGTTGTGGGGTGAGGAAAAGGTGTGGGGTCGTGTCCTGCCTGAGCACCTGGGCTATCGGCCTGTGTGGGGTTTACTCTTTGTGCTGCTAGAGCATAGGTCTAGACCCCTGAGGCCACCCGTGTGCAAACCTGTCCCGTAGGTGGAGCACCTGCAGCAGGAGGCAGCCTCCATGAGAAAGCAGACACAGAAGGTGAAGGAGCAATTCCTTCAGCAGAAGGTAGGATGTGGTTTTTTGGAGTGAAACACATGTCAGATGCAGGCTTGTGTGGCCTGCTGACTTCGATAGAGTGAAATCAATCAGGAGGATGGAAAGATACAGGTCCTCCATATGTCCTGTCGTAGTCTGTGAGGTCAGCATGCCCCACTGTGTGCCATGCAAGGCACTTGTCACTGTGGTGTTTGTCACAACACCCGATTGCTGTTACTTCAGAGAACCATGTGTGTTGAACATTGTGTACAGGTTGTTGCCTGTCATGTGAAGTATCTTTGGTTTTTTTTTTGTGCGGGGCGGTTTGAGACAGAGTCTCACTATGTATGTAGTTGAGACTGATCTGGAACTCACTGTGTAGCCCAGGCTGGTCTCGAACTCACAGCGATCCTTCTGCCTCAGCTTCCCGAGTGCCGAGTGC